TTGATTAGGTGATATGTAACATCGAGAATTTTCCGGATCGGCAGTCCGAGCTTTTGGTCTGTGTTATTTAGAATCTTGAGGTGAGTCTCCTCACTATACTATGGTTCGAAGGCAGCAATGTCGGCCTATTGGCTTATGATATATGGGAAGACCAGGGGGTGGCCCTTGGCATTTGTATGAAAGACCCATAGGTGGCTCCTGGCAAATTGTATGCAAGACCAGGCGGATTTCCTGTTTCATACCATATTTGATTCACATGGATAGGAACACATACACCATAAAATCTAAGTGTCATAAGGTTTCTCTCCAATTCATGAAAATGATTGTGAGGAAAGGCTTTCACTAAGTAGATTTTAAGGAGATAGAATTTGTGATATTTGCGTTCTCAAATTCGATTATGATTACGGCATTCCTCTTCATAGTTCAAATTGTGAGAAATGGCAAAAGGTCTAAACATTTGAGACTTATTGTTGTAAGTTCTAAAACTGTTTAGACACATATGTGAGTTATCTAAGGAAATGTGTATGAGTTTGAGAAGCCTAGATAAAGTCTTATCGAAGCGTCTTGTATCAGAAATCTGAACTTTGGTAAGAAAGTCAACAAGTATTGATTTCTAGAAGTCCAGCTTATTTCCAGGTACATGTCAGAGCTAGTGGGAGCATAAGTGTTATGCTAGTAAGATAATAATTATCATGCTAGTGGGAGCATAATTATTATGGTAAGTGTTGCGAGTTAGCAATGTTAATTATAGAAAACAAAGATTTCAATTCGCAAAGTTACAGTCTTAGTGTAAACAACAACATAGTTGAAATGACTTAGGAAACGAACCTAACTCAAATGGCTTTAGAACCAAACATAGCTCCTTCAGAGAGACCCGAGAGTGTTGGATCCTAACCGAGGGAGTAGACATCCCAATTCTAACTTTTTCGTTATAGGATTATTACAGGTTTCAGCCAAAGTGAAACCACAATTCCCAAAAATTTCGATAAGTTACATGATTGATATGGTACATGATTTCTTAGGTAACGATTCTTAAAATTTGGAAATCAATTATGCTATCATATATGACAATTTTTCACAATTTAGTAAAATGCTTTATATTTTTTATAATAATTATAAAAATATATTAACGTCATTTTAAGCTCATTTTACATAATGTCAAAGAATATAATAATAATAGTTGATTTTTGATATTTTCAACTAAACATGTTATATTTTCTCAAACTTTGTTTTTCAACTGTTTAAGGTAATGTACTTTTTTTTTATACCTAAATATGTTCAATAACATTTTTTATTAGATATAATATTTTTTCTATATATATTTTAATAAGCTCAAACTTATATATGACAAATACTATAATCTTAATATATATATATATATATATATATATATATATATATATATATAGCAACCTACTTAATACTTACAATATATATTAGTGATTTATAACATTTAAGGTTGTTATTTCACAATCTTTTAAACATTAGCAAAGTATGATGCCTTTTTGTGTATAAAAACTTATAAATCATATATATATATATATATATATATATATATATATATATATATATAACAACCTACTTAATACTTATAAGATATATTTGTGATTTATAACATTTTAGGTTGCTATTTCACAATCTTTAAACTTTAACAAAGTATGATGTCATTTTGTGTATAAAAACTTATAAATCATCAAAACTTTGATAAACACGAATTTACTCTCTCCCAAATATGAAAACCGTAAAATAGGGGTCGTAGAAACTCACATTTGATGTGTGATCTCGATCTAGGTTCGTTTTTGTGAAGTTTATCGTGAAAAACCACAATTCGACACTTCTTGTGATTAAGAGAAACTATCGGGACAGTTTAGTAATAATTTAAACAAGTGGAAGGAAAAATTGATCTTAAAAATCAAAAGGGAGGGTTGATTTGCTCAAGCAATACGAACAAGGGGCTGTTTTGGATCAAGTATTACAAATGAGAGGCTGATTTGAACAATAACTACAAATTGGGACTGATTTGGTGATACTAATACAATGAAGGAACTGTTTTTAATCAAATTAAAGCAACCAATGGAGAGAGTCTTTGATACTCATCTGATCGAGAAAGGAAACAAACGAAGGCGGTTAAAAGAGGTGGTCCGGTAGTGGTTGAGCAAATCGCGAGGAGAAGGAGCCCATTTTTCTGACGGTCCTCTTGGCCTCCTTGACTTCGTCGATGATAGCCATATATCGAGGGGAAGGAAAGCGAAGGTGGTGAAAGGCTCGACGATGGTTGAAGCGTCAAAGGTGGTGGAGAGAGGGTTGTTCTGGTGCTTCTCTCAGTTGTTTTCCCTTTTTGTCGGTTGTTATGCTTCAAGGGAGGCAACAACGATCGAAAGGGGGGCTTGGGGTGGTGTTACTTGATCGGAGGAGGGTGGAGGAGGGTTGTGAACGTCGTTGTTGAGGGGCTACTCTGGTGGCTCCTTCCTGCTGTTTTCCTTCTCGTCGCCAGTTATGGAGTCGTGTAGCAGTAGCAATGATCGAAGGGTGGTTGGCAGGTGTTACTTCAATAAGCAAATGGTGAAGAACAAAGGAGTTTGTTGCCTCCTCTTGGCCAGAAAAACAACCTCCGATGGAGGTTACTTCCATTCAAGTGAGAGAAAGAGAGAGATGTGAGAGTAGAGAGAGAAGGGTAGTGAGAGAAAGTTAGTGAGAGAAGAGAGTAGCTTCTAATTGAAGCATTTTTTTGTATTATTGAAAAGGATAATGACTTAAAAGGGTAACATATTATTCGATTTGTATATATTTTGTCATTGAGTTTTTTTTTCGTCCATATTTACCTCTTAAACTTGTTAAACTGTACACATTCAGTCCTTATGACCTGTTACTCCAGGTTAGCCGGGAAAAATAACTTGATAGGGTAATATATTTTTTATTTTGTACACATTTAGTCCTTAATATTTTTGTACATATTTAGTCCTTAATATTTTTTTTGTTTCAAAATAAGTCCTTTTTTTGTACTCATTCAGTACTTATGAATGATTTCTTTAGGTTTTTTTCACGACATCTTACGTGAGACAATCATTGATGAGGTGTTTGGGGTTGTTGATGCTTATGTCCAATGCGATGTCGACTGCTTGGTTGCGTAAGTCTTGTGGTTTGACTTAGGTCTTGTATTTTGAACATCGTAACTTCTTCATACGATATCAGATTTTAAGGATCTTTATCCACGTGTTCATTTTTTGAGTCTACTACAACTTTCATTAAGATTACTCCCGTTAAAATGTAATATATTTTTACTAACGATTTTATAAAAAAAACATACATACATGCATTCATAAAAAACGTATGGACAGGGGAAGACGCAGTAATACATAGTAGGTGTTGCCGAGATGAAATAGGTGTTGCCGATACATGGAAAATAGGTATAAACGAAAAAAAAAGCGAAAAATTTTCCACTGCGAACAGAAAAAACAGGTGTTGTCGGTGCAACACCGGGACCATACTAAATCCGCCACCGTGTATGGATATAAAGATCGTTAAAATCTGAGATCATATGAAGAAGTTATGACGTTCAGAACACATGACCTAAGCAACCAAGTAGTCGAGATCGCGATGGATATAAGCATCAAAAACCCCATACACCTCATTAATGAATGTCTCACGTAAGATTTCGTGAGAAAAAACTAAAAAATCATTCATAAGTACTGAATGAGTACAAAAAAAAATATTTTGCAAAAAAAAAAAAAAAAAAAAAAACTAAATGTGTACAAAAATATTAAGGACTAAATGTGTACAAAGTGAGAAATATATTACCCTATTAAGTCATTTTTACCGGGTAACCTGGAGTAGCCGGTCATAAGGACTGAATGTATACAGTTTAACAAGTTGAAGGGGTAAATGTGGACGAAAAAAAACTCAGTGACCAAATGTGTACAAATCGAAAAATATATTACCTTTTTAAGTCATTATCCCTTATTGAAAAGTCAAATCGACTTTTTGGTAGATATTTTGGCAATTAAACATGTGCCAAGTATTTTAGCGATTTTCGTTTTTCGGTTCTCGTGTCGATAGATTCCAACATGTAATTTTACGAATTCGTTTTTTCTCAAGATTAAGAATATCACAAAAAAGAAATCAAATAATAGACCACAGTCTGAGTTCAAAAACATGCTCAAAAACAATTTACGAGGTTCCAAACGAAGTAGTGCAAAGTTCATTTTAGAAAAATCAGATAAATACTGATTTTATAGCTTGAAATGGGCATAACTTCCTCATATAATGTTTGTTTTTGACGTTCTTTATATTCATGGAATCAGGAAAACAAAATCTATTCAAATTTCTTATCTATAGCTCTCAAGTATAATTAATGCAAAAAAAAAAAAAATTTAGGGCATTAATTAATACCCATTTTATGAATTGTTTTCTAATTGTTAACGACTGTCAATTTTTTGAAATTTTAAGGTATTCCATATGCAATTTCAGATATAATGACTTCAATTGCACTCAATGACAAAAAATACTACACAATAGGTCCTCTTTATAGTGTTGTTAACGATAGTTTGACCGACGAACTTTGACCTAGTTGTTACTAAATTAGCATAATTTTAAAAGTTATATGACTAAGAGCACAAAGTCAAAAGTTACGTGACCAAATTAAAACCAAATGACTTTTAGCCCAACAGTATCCAGTGTTACCCTTCCTTCTTGAAGTTGGGGGTTTAAGTCCCGTCGGGGACATAGATGGATTTAAGGTATAGTTTAAGAGTATCTTAGATTTGCCGTTTCAAAAAAAAAAGTGACCAAATTAAAAATTAAATATCTAAATAAACACAAAACTAAAAATTAAATGACTTTTAAAAACTTAAAATGAATTAAGGACCAAATAAACACAAAGTCAAAATTAAGAGAAAAAAAACAACCCAAACCCTGTAGAAAATATCAAAATAGGGGTAAAACCGAATGCCATAACCAAAGTTGCAGGCTGAAGTACCGGAGTTCTCTCTCCCGCAGACACAATGGCTTCCACAATCTCTCGCAGACTTGCATCCAAGATCCTGAACCCTTCTTCCTCCCCTGCTCTCTTTTCACTATACCCCACCTCCTACCGTCTTATCCCTGATGATTCCCATCGATCCTTCTCAAACTCTACCCCCAATTTCACTACTTTCAATCTCCCATCATCGTTTCCCACAATACCAGTTGGCACTAGTCACAGTTTAATTAGATCAAATACCAGTTTCAACGCTAGTTTCAAAATCCAATCGCTAAACCCTAATCTTTATCAAAGCCCCAAGTTTTTGTCAACCTCCACTCAGCAATCTGATCCTGAAGAAACCCAAAAACCTAACGAGAATCCAAGCCAAACCCTTGACGGATTCAAGCACCAAGAGATCACTGGACCTACTGTGGAACGCGATGTTTCTGCACTTGCTAATGAGACACGCCAAGTGCTCGATCAAATGACAAAGACAATTTACACCCTTAGCAAAAGTTTAGCTCTTTTGGGTCTGTTTCAGTTGGGTCTAGGCGCTTGGATTTCGTATGTTACCAAGTCGACTCCTATCCCAGAAGTATCTGTGCAGAGCTGCTTGGCATTTGGGTTACCATTTTCGTTGTCATTCATGCTTCGGAGGTCATTGAAGCCAATGAGTTTCTTCAGGAAAATGGAGGAGCAAGGTAGGTTGCAGATTCTGACTCTTACACTTCAACTTGCAAAGAATCTGAATGTGTTTTTTGTGAGGTTGAATGTGGTTTCGTACTTGTGTGTTGGCGTTGCTTCTCTTGGACTGCTTGTTATTGCACTATATTGATGGCTTGTATTGATATTTTTCAGTTTTGACATACAATGAACCATATGTTGTTAGTAATTCAGTCGAAATCCCATAGTTTTCTACAATAAATATGAATACGGATTTTGAATCATGTGTTGGAGACAATGATCATATGATATGGACAATTTGTTTAAGACCTTTGTTGCTTATGGGATTAACGGATTTATTGTTTTCTTTATAGTTGCATTCATAACTGTTAAAGTATGTGACTTATAAGAAATGTGTTAGTTTCTTTTAGGGAAAATGACACTGAAGCACGTTAGAATTAATTTGTCCGGTTTGGTCAATGAAGTTTTTTTAGTGCATTGCATTAAAATGAACAAATTGCAATTTTTTTTTATCATTTTTAAAAAGGCTAAACAAGGTGGAGATACTAGCTATTTTTATTTGTGCATGACCAAAATATTGTTAGTTCTCGATTTGGCCATCAAAATGGTGTTGTTTACTTTTTTTTCTGTCAAATAATAGTCTTTGAGGTGACATGTTTGGAGTTTAGACGAACAAAAGACTTGAGTTTCAAGCCGGGTAATGACTATGTGTGGGGTTTTTATCCTCCTGTAATGGGTTTTTTTTTATCCAGGAGAGCTCTAATGGTAATAGGTTAGTTTCTCTATTCTAGTACTATTTGTGAGACTAATGTATTATATGAGTTTATTCAAAAAAAAATAAACAAAATAAAAATCTAACAATCTAGAAAATTTAAATTTATAAGAAAAAAGTAAAATATTTAATTATTAAAATTGAAGTGTTTATTTATCTTTTAAATTTAAACTAATAATCATAATCATTTCTAATAAATGAAGGTTTTTTTTTTGTCATATGTTACGCACTCATTCAATTTGTCAAATGTCATTTTGTGGTTATTTTGATTTAATTTCTTTTCCACATGTCATTTTATGGATTTTTCTATTTTAATAAATTTCACATAATATTTTAATGTAATAATTACAATATATATATATAGTAATAAATGAATATCAATTTCATTAATGGACTTGTCTTCTTATTTCAAAATTTTCAAATTAAAGCTTATTAGTTTATTTTTTTTTAATTTATTTAAATTTAAAAGATAAAAAAAATCAATTTTAATAATTCATTTTTTTTTATTTTCTTATAAATTCAAAGTTCTTAAATATTTAAACATTTATATTTAATTTTTTTTAATTAACTCATGTAATATATAGGTCTTACACCTAGTTTAAATAAATAAACAACTAATATAATTGGATTCAATTTAGAACTTTAGAAATTATAAAGAAACTTGCATTAATGAATTGGATATATATATTCATTATTACATTTATTACATTTAAGTATTATATGAAATTTAATAAAATGAAAAACCCACAAAATGACATGGATATAATTTAATCTGAATTTACAACAAAATGACATATGGCATAATACATAAAGGATCACAAATAGCAAAATTATTTTTATTTATTAAGAAGTTGTTAAGCATTTTATACAATGGGCTTGGGCTGATTGGTATTGGCCGGTAAAGATATACTAGATTTTTTATATCCATTTTTCTGTCCAACCTGAAATTTGATTTTTGGTTATAGCCGTCGGGGCCGAAAAGGGGCAAAATTTCTAGAAACAGTAATATGACCGTATTTTTAGCCATTGAACCCCTAGAAAGTCCCTTTTGCCCCCATTAGTGTTGGTATGAATATATGTTGGTTCATTTGGTTTCAACATACTGCAAAAAAACTGACAATATCAATATAAGTATGTGTTTGTTTGAAAGATTATTTGGACACTGCCAAAGCTCATAAAGTTGTGTTTCAATATTTTTACCACCCATCGAAGAATACATCCATGAAGAAGAAAGTTACACAAAGGATATCACATCCAATGATTGAAGTAGATAGGGTGACATTGCGGAGGAAGACACCATCCAAGAATTTTCGGATTAGATAACTTCGACAATCATTTGACGACTAAAAACAATTGTATAATTTAATTTTATCTGTCTTTTTGAATTTTTAAATCAAATATATAATCAAGTAAAGAATATAAAAACTTAGATTTAATGGAATTATCTGAATTCCGATATTAAATTTTGTTGCATGCGATCTACATGGATTACATCAGATACCCATTCCGCTACAAAAATTGGCAAAATCCAACCCATCTAATTCAATTCGAACCGAGTTTTAAAATATCCGACTTTTGTGTGCCTTTTGTGGGAATACATCTCTTAAAAACTCATTGTGTTGTTGGAGAATAGATAGTCAAATTTCAGTCGAATAGTGGGTTAATCATCTCTCTTGCATCATGATTTTTCCTTTGTAATTCATGATGTTACAAGAAAAATAAATACGTTAAGTTTTTTTTAAGAGTTTTTAAAAGTGGTCAATGATTGGAGAATTTAAGCTAATATATTTTTGTTTGCTTAAAACCAGAGAAAAACTAATGTAACTATAGCACAAAAAAAAAAAAAAAAAAAAAAAAAAAAGTTTAGTGATGCGAATACTCTAATGTTTTTTCCTTTTTTGTGCATGATGGTGCCAATTTACAATGTTATTTAATATTTACTTAAATCAGAATATCATGATATAAAATCTCTTATAGTAGTATATCCTTCCTTTACCCATACACACAATTTCAATTAGACGTAATCTTGTCTTGCCACGCAGGCTTAGATTAAAGATATAACCCATTTTTCATTAAGTAAAAACATTAAAACATTTGCGTATTAGTAGGGAGGAAACATAGAAAAACTAAAAACACACCAACTCCCAAATCACAACATAAACATTTCCCTTTTCCATATCTTTTTTCCTCGCTTGTTTTCAATATTTTCATTCTCTTTTCTTCTTTTTTTGGTGGGACAATAATGTCTTTTCAAATATCCTTCGGGTGGGGGTAGGGGCTAGAATCGTAGATCTGTCTGTCAATTCAGGTTACAAATATAGCCGGATATCGGCATCATCTTATTACATCAACTCAAAATACTAATCATTTATATATATATTGAGAGAGATAAAAAAGCATTCGCTCCTCCTTAGTCTTTCCTACTCCACCACAAAACCCAATCAGGACCAAAAATAATCCCACAAAAAAACTCATCAAAACCTTTCGTTCGTGCAACTAGAAAATAGGTCGTTATTTACCGCTTCTCCAACGTGTAAATGACCAGGTTGTTGTCCCCACCCAGTAAGTGATGAAATTTAGGCATTGTTGGAACTTCCGGCAGTCTTGGCGGCCTCTGGGCGGACATAGGTGAGGCTGCGGGCGGCGGTGGTCGGAGACGGGATGGCAGCGGCCGTAGGGCTAGGAATGTTTTCCGACGATGGGTTTTGAGCATCACGTTTCCATTGAAAGCTTCGAGCACCGGATTTGAGAGGGAGGCGGGGTCTGTAGAGGGTCGGGAATGGAACTCTTCTGAATCTTGAGGCGGCAAATGGAGAACCCCGGGAGGTGGCCGCCCAGGGCCATGATGTTACCGGTGTGGTGGTGGTGGTGGTGGTGGTGGTGGTTGTAGCTTCTTGATGAGCAGAGCTTTTCCGAACAACCTGCATAAACAAATATCAAAGATTTAGACTGTGTTTGTGTTTGGCAGACTAGCTGAAAAGCTGTTTTTTTGCCTGATAAGCACAAGACGAGAGAGATGTTTATGTACCTTAAGAATACGTGACATAAAAGATGTACCATCCAGAGACAAAGCATTTTCGGCTGCCTCTTTTCTCATGAACTCCACATAAGCTGATCTGCATAAGGAACCCCCGTTTAGAAATAACAACGTACTTTCATTGACTTGTTATTATAGCTATGTATGGACAGATATTTCAAAATACAATGTCATAAAAAGAAAAAGAAAAATTAGAACGCTATAATCAAAAAGATTTTTCAAGGTGCAATGTGTTTTATAAAAATGAAAATACAATACTGTAACAAAAAGAAACGAGAGTAATACACAAATTAATAAAAGTAGATTGCCATATCTCGCATTTCTGATTTACTCTGAAGGTCTTTACTAGATAATTTTCTAGTTTTAAAACAAAAAAAAAATACAAACCCTTTTGGCTGTCCAGTTGCTGCCTCAGTTACTATAACCACTTTCAGCACATCCCCAAATTTGTTGAAGTGCCGAGAAAGACTGTCTTTAGTGGCACCAAAATGAACCTGTAAAAATTAAATTAAATAAGTTTCAGATTTTTTTAAAATATAATCAAATGTATACAACAGAACTTTATATAAGAAGGCTGTGTCATTACATTGCTGACAAAAATCGTGCGAAAATCCACGTCATCGGTAGGACGACCAATGGGATTTACACCTGCAGAAATAACAACATACCTTTAGCAAAAAACACTCAAATCAAGAAAATATAGCTACATACTTCTATTTGTTTGTTTATTAATGCCTCCTACTTTTACTTCTTCCTGTTACAGCATTGTACTTCGAAAAATATACCCACTTATATCAAATTCAAATACAAAGCGATTTACATTTCTGTGATTGAGTAGATTTTTCAAAGTACAATTTCCTAATAAGAATTTTTTTTCAAATACAAAGGTATAAATAATGGGTAGAATTTTCAGTGTACAATGGGGTAATAATAAAAACAAAAAACTGAAAATACAATTCTGTAATAGAAAAAATTCAAGTAGGATGCTATAGTAAACATACAAATGAAAGTCCATTGCTATTTCTTGCATTTCCACTATAAAAAAAAATATGAAAAACCAGACACAGCACTCACCAGTCGACGGCAGTGTCTTCTGGATCTCCCTTTGAGCATGTATAGTGGGCGCCCCCTGAATAGAAAAAAAAAATAGTTAAACACAAATTAAAAATAATAATAATAATAAACTATTTTAAAAAATGATTGCATAATTGGGGAAACGAAATAAACAATAAATGAGGACAAAATTATACAAGATTAGGACTTAACTTTTTTCTACATTTAGTAAAAGAAAAAATAAATGAAGGTATTGACTGAGTTGAATATAATCTTACATTTCCATTGCTAACAATTAGAGAATTGGCAGTCTCCTGTACAAGCTTCTGATTCTCCATTTCCAAAATCGCCCTTGGTTTCGGATAATGAGATGGTTTTCCACTATTTACATTCGAAGAAACATTTACCATCTTATTTGAAGAATTCTGATCTCTTTGTGGTTTATTATTATTAGCAATCCCATCCACAACATCTACCGCATTGTAGTCTAACATCACCGACTCATTACCAATCTGTGAAATACCCATTTTGCCCCTTGGATCAACAACATCATACCCCTCATTACCATACGCAAAGCTGGCTGCTATTCCCGCATCATAATAAGTAGGAACAGTAGCCTCTATAATTTGAGTATCTTCATCAGCAATTTCTCTATATTCTGTGAACTGGTGAGGGTGAGGGGTATCTGATAAATCCTCCTCCACACTACGCCCAAGCCGGTCAAACACGTTGCCCGAGGGTTTGACTTTTACAACATCTTTAGCAGCATCTGCTACAGCTTTAATGGCCACAGCCATGGCTTTGGGGACTCGGGCAACTGACCGGAGTTTCGGGCGGCTTTGGAAATCCTCATTGGGTGTAGAAACTACAGACCGCAATCGCTTTAATGATGGCTCTGAAGTCAAACCAGTTGACCGGGATGTGGCAACTGCATCTCGCACTGCAAATTGTAGCAGCCTTCTTGATGCGCCTACACTTGGTTTAGAAACTGGTTCTCTCTGAAAGTAAACATGTGTTGAGATATAATTTAGAAAAAAAAAAAATCCAAATATCCACATTTCTACCCTTTAAACATATTCATCAACCATATACTTATGTTCACCTAAGCTCTGACTCTTTTTAAAAAGGATCATCTTTCAACTTTGTTCTGTGCTTGTAAAATTTAGACTTTTGGTGATGACTTTTGACTTATGACGTGTCAAACTTATTGAAACAATGTCAATAAATAGTAACCAAGTTTCAGTTTTTTTTTCAAATTTTGCGAAAATATTGGAATAACAAAGGGACAATGTCGTTAACTAGTAACTAAGTTTTCATATTCTTGTGAAATCTGGACTACATTGGAATGAAACTCGGTTACTAGTAAACAAAATCATATCAAAAGATTTGTCATGTCATAGGTCCATGAGTAAATTACACGAATGGTCCCTATGGTTTGTGGTAATTTACACGTTTGGTCCCTAACTTATCTTTTTTAACTCGGAAGGTCCCTATTGTTTGTTTTTGTTGCACGTTTGGTCCCTGTCTTACCTAAAAAGACTATTTTGTCCTTGATTTTTTAATTTATTTAAATAAACACACCGCCAACCCCACTTCCACCTCACTTTACTTTACCCCACTTCATTTAAATAAATTAAAATTTCAAGGGCAAAATAGTCTTTTTAGGTAAGACAGGGACCAAGCGTGCAACAAAAACAAACTGTAGGGAGTTAAAAAAAATAAGTTAGGGACCAAACAAACAAATTACCCAAACCATAGGGACCATTCGTGTAATTTACTCTAGGTCCACATTAGCAACAACTCATTGCTATGTCATCACTGAAGTTCAAAATTCAGTCCCATGCTTGTAAAATTTTGTATCTTTTTGTTCCATTTAATGATTTTTTTGTAAATTTGAACTTTTAGTGGTGAATTGTTGCTGATGTGGACCTATGACTCAGCATACTATTGGAACAATTTCGTTAAATAGTAACCATGTTTCAAGTTTGTTTCATGAAAATATTGGAACATTGAAGGGACAATGTTTCTAACTAGTAACCAAACTGAAACTTGGTTGCTAGCGAAATTATTTCAATGAGTTTTGTCACATCATCAGCAAAAGTAAAATATTATGATTCTATCTATATAAACTAAACAAAAGAAACATTTTTTTTGTACAAGAATGGAATAAAATCC